CACCATCGTTGTTGTAGGGGAGAACACTGTCTATGAAAAACCCAACGTCAGGATCGAGGAGGCACCACTGCCGAAGGGCGACATCCGTGTGGGGCTGGTCGTGGATCAAGGATGCGCCACCACCGCCGGACCGCGTTGTGCGCATAGATCGAGGGCGCGCCGCCTCTGCCGGATCACGTCGTTCGCACGGATCGAGGGTGCGCCGCCGCCTAAGCGTCGCCGGCAGGGGGAGCAGTTCGTGCTTGACGGCAACCACCGAACCTCCCCTGCTCCTCATGCTTGAGGCGGAGCCTGGTGTACCGGTTGGTCGGCTGCCGTTGGGCCAAAGCCCGCCGCAGGAACGCGTCGCTGCCACCCACCTCCGGCTCCTCGTCGCTCCCCACAGCGCACTGCCCCAGCGTCCCGTCGCACAGCGCCCGCAGCGCCCCGAGGTCCGTCAGCCTGGTGCCGGCGGAGGCCAGCGTCGCTGAGACGCTGACGACGCAGCGCAGTAGAGGAGGCAGGCCGCGAGTGCCAGCGTCGCTGAGGACGCCGCGTAGTAGAGGAGGCAGGCCGCGAGCAATCTGGGATGGTGCGGACGCCTCCGAATCCGACCCAATCTTGACTTTTCTGGAGAGATGTTGGGTTAATTAATGGACCAATATAATATTTATTATTGTCTTTATTACTGGCGCGGTGGGTCGGACGGGGGCGGTGACCACGGTGCGCTCGTGACTCTCGTGCTCGCGAGTTCGGTCCTCTCCGCTCGGTCGGACGGCCGGCTAAAAAAATATCTTATTCTGCACAGAGAAATAGTTACGTATAACGAGAGAGAGTCAAGTACAACTTAAATACAAGTAACATGATATATATGGGTTAGACTATACATATCTCTAATACCTATCCGTAGTCACCATAGCAAGTGGGAACTACACGCAAAAACTAGGTCTCAAGTCATTGAACAACTATACAGACAGTCTCTTAGTCATAATGTCCGTGAACTGATGAGCTAAGGAAACTTGGAGTACTCTTAACTACCCTAAAGCCACCTTCTTGTGAACAAAGTAAATATCAATCTCAATATGCTTCATGCGATGATGATGAACCGGATTGACAGTCATATAGAGTGCGCTAACATTGTCACAATAGACAATGGTCACCGAAGGGATCGAGATATGAAGCTCCTCAAACAATTAGCGCAGCCAGTAGCCCTCAGCAACCGCGTGAGCAACAACTCGGTACTCCGCCTCTGCACTAGGCCGAGACACCATGGTCTACCATTTTGAAGACTAGGAAACCAGGTTGTCCTCAAGGAATACGCAGTAGCTTGATGTAGAGCGTCGAGAGTTTGGAAATCCAGCCTAGTCGGCGTCTGATATTGTGTCGTGATGGATGACACGCTGCCAATGACGAGGTGCAGGGCAGTGTCGAGGGTGCCCTTCACATAGCATAGAATGTGCTTGATCAAAGCAAGATGCAACTCTCGTGGGTCGTGTATGAAGAGGCAGCCTTGCTGAATAGCGTATGCAATGTCCGTCCTAAGTCAGCATAAGATACTACAAGGCGCCAGCAAGACTATGGTATTATGAAGGGCTAGCAATTGGACCTCCATTAGTGGCAGACAACTTGGACTTGGAGTCAACTGGTGTTGCCGTAGGGTGACACTAAGCCATGCCAGCCCACTGAAGAAGGTCGACGTCATACTGTCTTTGGGACAAGTGGAGTTCGGTAGAGGATCGTGTGACAGAGATGCCAAGGAAGTGGTGTAGAGCCCAAAGGTCCGTCATGGCGAACTCAGAGTTGAGACGGTCAATGATGCGTCGCAGAAGATCCGAAGAGGATGCCGTGAGAACGACGTGGTCGACATACAGTAGCAATTACGCCATCTCCACTCCATCTTTGAAGATGAAGATAGAAGCATGAGACTTTGCCGCAGTGAAGCCATGCATGCAGACGTAGGTGGAAAATCGCTGATGCCATGCACGAGGAGTCTGCTTTAGGCCGTATGGTGATTTCTGCAATAGGCAAACATAGTCGGGGGTCGACAGGTCGATGAAGCCAGCACGTTGCATTGGTGTCCGTAGACGGTCTCCACATGAAGAAAAGCATTCTTCATGTCGAGCTAGTGGATCGGACAGGAGCATGAAGTAGCAATGCTGAGCACAGTTTGGATCGTAGCAGGCTTGCAAACGAAGGTCTCATCGTAGTCGACACCATATTGTTGGGAGAAGCCACAAACAACCCAACGAGCTTTGTGGCATGCAAGGGAGCTGCTAGCATGATATTTGTGCTTGAAGAGCCACTTGCCCTTCATAATGTTGGCACCCGGTGGTCGAGGAACTAGATGCTAGGTGCGGTTGTCAAGGAGAGCCTGCTACTCGTCCACCTTGCACCCAATTAGGGGGTGGCATGCATATATATAGTCAAGTATAACTTGGAATACACAAGTAACATGATATACATGTGTTAGACTATAGATATCTCTAATACCTGCGTTTAAGGGAACTGTGGATGACGTCACCCACTTCATGGTGCATCGCTCCACTTTACTATCTCTATTTTTTCTGTTTGATTCCGTTCATGTGGGGGTGTGTATTAATGGGATGAGCTATGTGATATAACCCTTAAAAAACAGGTACTAGGATGCTATGTATGACTAAGGAACTAACTAGGATTAAATGAGCATATGATAGCACTATACCTGGGACTTTTTTTAGATAAAGGAATTTTATTCCTGCCTCTCTAAGGGTTTTGCACTCAACCATCCATTTTTACAGAGATTCAATCATTGACGGATGAAGAGAGCTCTCAAAAAGCGATAAAAAGTGTGGGAGACCATATAACCAGCAGCAAAATAAGATCTAAACCTATTAGAAAACAATCGTTCATACATGATGAAAATCTCCGTTGCTCCAGTCTCCATCACTCTGCCTTTTTAAATTTGATTGGTCAGACTCCTTTTGAAGTATGGAATAGAACCGAGTCTAGTAGGTCACCTTGAAAATAACCTATAAATAAGAGTAATTTTTTTTAAAAAATATACAATTTCTGTTCAACCATATAGACCAAAAAGATTGCACTTTCTCCTACTCAAATTTGAGATCGCAACTTTGAGTCTACTTGTTGTAAGCATGTTTGGAAAAAAAATTAGTCATATCTATTTTAATTTGTTTCCTTTCCTTGTGAGTAATGCTATTGCCTTTAAACACCTTTTACGGTATATATACCCTGTAAGACTGTAATCCAGTGATTGGCTAGCGGTACAGCTGTGTCTCCACTTAAGGTTGTTTTTCACCTCCTCAACTAATCTTCAATGTTGTTAATCACACTAACAAGCCACATGACAAAATTTAGTGCAAACGTACTGTGATTTCGTATATACTACTACTATGTTTCTATAAATAGAATGTTGTTTCACTTATATATACTCCATTCATACACGCCGTAACAATATGTACGGTTTTCAGTAATTATTACTAGTACCAATTAGCGGCTTTTGTGCCTCCACGGAGGCAATGCTGCAACAGGTTCGTTGGCAGCTATGGTTCCCCATTTAATTCCTTCTTATCAAGTCAGCATGCAGTCCATTTCAACTCCACAAGTTCTTTTCGGCCATTAAATTTGGAATGAATGCAGTAACAGTGATGTTCGAGGTTACACTGCCGGGTGGTCTCATGAACCGGCAGTGTTGGTGAAACTGAATTCTGCTAGGTTGTGTAAAGGACCGACAATGAAGTTGCACAACACTGCCGGTTTGTAGGAACCGACAGTGATAGCTAACCCTCATCACTGTCGGTTTGGTTGTGCCGGTTCAAAATCCGGCAGTGATGGGGTGTTTTGAACCGGCAGTATTGTCCTGATCTGGGGTAGTGTAGGTCACCTTGAAAATAACCTATAAATAAGAGTAATTTTTTTTAAAAAAAATATACAATTTCTGTTCAACCATATAGACCAAAAAGATTGCACTTTCTCCTACTCAAATTTGAGATCGCAACTTTGAGTCTACTTGTTGTAAGCATGTTTGGAAAAACAATTAGTCATATCTATTTTAATTTGTTTCCTTTCCTTGTGAGTAATGCTATTGCCTTTAAACACCTCTACAGTATACCCTGTAAGACTGTAATCCAGTGATTGGCTAGCGGTACAGCTGTGTCTCCACTTAAGGTTGTTTTTCACCTCCTCAACTAATCTTCAATGTTGTTAATCACACTAACAAGCCACATGACAAAATTTATTGCAAACGTACTGTGATTTCGTATACACTACTACTATGTTTCTATAAATAGAATGTTGTTTCACACATATATACTCCATTCATACACGCCGTAACAATCTGTACGGTTTTCAGTAATTATTACTAGTACCAATTAGCGGCTTTTGTGCCTCCACGGAGGCAATGCTGCAACAGGCTCGTTGGCAGCTATGGTTCCCCATTTAATTCCTTCTTATCAAGTCAGCAGGGGCAGATCTAGGGCTCGGGCTGCAGCCTGGGGCGAGTCCATGTAGCCCCTGTAACATATGTGGTGTTTAGCCTAAAAAATTATGATCTTAATTAGATAAAAGAAGGTCTAGAAAGCATGATTAGACTGTTTTGAACGTGAATCAGCAGCTCAGCCCGGGGCGCAGCCCCGTTCTGGATCCGCCCCTGCAAGTCAGCATGCAGTACATTTCAACTTTACATTAGGCACCTTTTTTTCTCTTTCAGGAAATTAAATACAAGTTAATTACTCCTTTCTTATTGACGTTGACTTCAAAGCACTATACGTGGATGTGCTCTTCTTCATTTGTCGTTCCCGCCTTAGCCATCCTCTTGTACAACTCGCTATAAATTAGACAGCTAGCCTCATATGCCACAACACAGCATATATATCACCAAAGTTGAAAGCAAACTGAAGCACACAAAAATATACCTATAGTGAATCAGTGATCGTTGATCCATGGCAGCCTCGCCACTGCCGAGATGGGCGCCGACACCAAGCCCGACCAGACCACTCAGGGTGTCGAGCACCGGCCAAACAGCCATGTCTTCCTCATGTAGCAGCAGCTGGTGGGCATTGTGCCGCTCGTTCATCAACTCCGTCTATCCGCCGTGGAGACGCTCTACACCACCGCTGCCGCCAGCGGGTGATCCCGTCAATGCTGTGGATGATCGTCACCGATGCGGCTCTCATCCATTGGACTGTGTTGGAACCAGAGGCTGCAGTGTACCCGAGGAGTCCGGCCGTGAGGTGTTCCTGACATGGGAGGATCTTTCGGTGACAGCCTCTAGCGGGAAGGCAAAAGCCACAGTGATTCTCGACAACATCAGCGCGTATGCGCGTCCCGGTGAAGTGCTGGCTCTCATGGGGCCTTCAGGTTGCGGCAAGACAACCCTACTTGATGCCCTAGCTGGTAATATATAAACTGAGAATCTTATTGTCATATCACCTTATAATGTGTTTAAGCTAACTTGTGTATGGTTATGTCTTTATGCAACATTTTCACAGCAACTGACTCTAGATTGATGTTTTCTTGTTGAATCTAAAGTAGAGGTGTTTATAATAACAGTGTTTTGGTGGAACTGGAAAAAAGGAGGAAATGACAAATGATACGTTCTCAGAATGACACTACCCTAAAAACTAAACACGCACCACTGCGAGCACTCATAATGCTAGTTCGTGGCTATAACCAGTAGTGATAGGATAACCAATAGTGATAGATATCATTGCTGATTGTAGCCACAAACCAGTTGTGAACCTACTTATCACTACCAGTTAGTAGCTATATATCACTTGGTTTGCATGGAAAAATTCATAACTTTTTCATATAAAGTTGGATCGACAAACTTTAGACGAAAATCATAAAGTTCAAAGAGATGGAAAACTTTGTAGCTAACAACTTTTTGATTTGAAAAAGTTTATATGTCCAAATATTCAATATAAATTTTAGAAACACACTTTTTTTTATATTGTTGTAGGTTCGTTGCTAGAATGACAGTGATACCATTTGACATCATTTTTGTTTGTCCATTGCTGGTTTTATAAACTGACACCGAAGATATGTTTAAAATGAACAGTGATAAGATGTTTTTAGCAGTATAGCCTCCTCCCTACCCACTGGTAACCTCATGCATGCCACCAGGAACTTGTTGCCAACACCACTGTGACAGCGACCTCACCGCAGCACCAAGGTTGCCTCTCCTCTTGGCCCAGTGGCCCACACCAGTGACTGGAGTCCCCGCAAACCTAAAAAATTTAACCTGCCAGTTTTCGTCTTGGTCTCGATAGGGTCAGCATAGTCCCTCTTTTGTGCGTGGCCTCTTGTAGATTAGCTTTTAAACCCAAGATAAAATGAGCAAGAGCAGCAAAATAAAAGAGTAGATAATTTTATCATTTCACCTACGTACTCCAACAAGAACTTTACTTCGGAATCTATCTAGGACTGCATGTCCTCACTGAAATTGAAGTTACCATATGTAAGTTAACATAGTTTTACGTCAATAATGGAGTTTCCACCTCGATCGACTCATCACAAACTAGTTTTACCTACATATAATAATAATATATAAAAAAGTAAATATTTGAATGTAGCAATAACATATTGTTTTGCTCTCAACAATATCAAAATAGAAGAGAGTTAATGTTTGCATCTTTCTGCCATATGACCAACAACAGGTTCATCATGACAATAATGTATACCATATATATATTTGAATGTCTCAAAAAGAATGAACTAGAAATTAAAAAGGAGTTGTTATATTTCAGGTGCCTAAATTTTGAGTGCAATAATTTTATACAATTAATTAGTGCAATTAAAGGGACAACTCACAAGATCGACAAAATTCATAATTTTTTTTCTATAGTTAAGCAATGACAAAATTACCTATTGCCTGAACAACAACGAAAAGTGAAACTAAAAATGTGCCGAGTTCTATTACTTCAGTGGAACATATGGATGTCTTCCATACACTTGCAAGTTCCTTCACACATATAAATAAAGACTCTCTAATAAGCGTGTATGATTAATAAAAAATGTTATATCAAGAGTAGGACTGACTTGGAAAGAAAAAGGCAGGCGACATCTTGATCAATGGCCGACGAGAGAAACCTGCTTTTGGAACATCTGTAAGTTCTATCTATATTTCAAAATTAAGAAACAATAAATAAGTTCAACAACCCATCCAATTTACTAAAGTGAACTAAAGTGATCTAAAATTTAGCTCTTAACTTTAACCAACTAAACTTTAGACCATATGATATCCAAACAGGACCTTAGCCTCTCCTCTAGGCCGAGTGGTCCACGTTAGTGACTAAAGACCCTTGAAACGCAAAAAATATTAACCTGCCCAGTTGCCGTTATCAACAGGGTCAGCATAGTCCATCTTGTGTGTGGCCTGTTGTGGATTAGCTTTTGTATCGAAGATAAATGAGCAAGAGCAGCAAAGTAATTGAGTAGGTATAATTTTTTCTCATTTAATTTCACCTACTCAGACAAGGACTTTATTCAGGAATCTAGCTAGGATTGAATTTCCTGATCGAAGAATCTAGCATATGTGTAATAAGTGAACCTAGTTGTACGTGTACAATGGAGTTTCCACCTCTTGATTCATACAAACTAGTTTTAACATACATAGTAAGATAAAAGAGTCAATATCCAGCTATGAATGCGGTATGTCGTCGGTCATTGGTCCATTGCAAAGGTGGGTAGCGCGAACTATCTTAATTTATCATGCTCTCCATCCACAAGTTTTGTTTGGCCATGAATTCGGCATGGCCGTCGGTTTCATTGGTCCATTGCAAAGGTGGGTAGCGTGAACTTTCTAAATTTATCATGCTCTCCATCCACAAGTTTTGTTTGGCCATGAATTCGGCATGGTTGTTGGTTTCATTGGAAAGGTCGCTAGCGTCAACTTTTTAAGTTTCTCATGCTCTCCACAAGTTCTTTTCGGCCATTAAATTTGGAATGAATGTAGTAACAATGACATTATTTTGCCCTCGATAATACCAAAATAGATGAGAATGTTTGCATCGTTATGCCATATTGTTTTTTGATAAAGGAAAGCTTTTATTAATTCACAATTATTACATCAAGTTGATACAATAATCATGAATCCACTTTCAGCCTCTACATAAAAGCACACAGCCTTAAACAGAAAAAAAGGAGAGCCTGACGCTGTAATGAGTATCAATTCTAATAGTAGATCGTTATGCCATATGACTAACAACAGGTACAACACGACAATAATGTATGCCATATTTGAATTTCTCCATGAAACTGAACCATACTAAAAATGTGCCGAGTTTAACATTTGGATGTCGTCCAGACACTTGGAATAAGTTCCTTCACACACATACATAAAGAGTCTCTATCCAAGCGTGTATGAGTATGATTAATAAAAGAATGTTATATTTAATTGTAGGACGACTTGGGTCTGACAAGAAAAAGACGGGTAACATCTTGATCAATGGCCGACGAGAGAAACTTGCTTTTGGAACATCTGTAAGCACTACTGTTTCTATGTTTCAAAATTAAGAAACAATAAACATGTTGTACATACAAAGAACCCACCCAATTAATTCGGTGGTGCATCTTAATTTCCTTGCATTGAAGGCCTACGTGACCCAAGAGACTCTGCTGATGGCGACGCTGACGGTGACGGAGGCCGTCCACTACTCGGCGCAGCTCCAGCTGCCGGACTCGGTGCCGCCAGCCGAGAAGTGGGAGCACGCCGACCGCGCCATCAAGCAGATGGGGCTCGCCGCGGTGGCCGGGCACCGCATTGGCGGCCGCGTGTGCAAGGGGATCAGCGGCGGGCAGCGCCGGCGCGTGAGCATCTGCATCGAGCTGCTGGCGTCGCCGGCGCTGGTGTTCCTCGACGAGCCCACCAGCGGGCTCGACAGCGCGGCGTCGTTCCACGTCATGAGCCGCATCGCCAGGCTCGCGCGGGACGAGAGGGTCACGGTCGTCGCCGCCATGCACCAGCCCAGCAGCGAGGTGTTCCAGCTCTTCAATGGACTCTGCCTCATGGCTTATGGGAGGATGGTGTATTTTGGGCCAGCATCGGATGCAATCCAGGTTATAGTGACGTTCTTGAAAAGCATGCTTATCGAACATATGCCACGTTCTCCAGAGCACAAGTTTTCATGAATGAATAGACATTTACTATAACTACCTACATACTAGTTCATTCCAACCTAATTTCAACACATTTCTAGTAGATTTTTTTATACTAATGTACTGAATTCGCCTCCCAATATAATCCATTGCAATGTTATTAAGCTAAAAAGAATATAACAGTAATTGTGACTTCGTTTAAAATATCAATATGTTTTCTGTATTATCATCTTACAAGAAAATAACATAAAAGTAATTGAATCGAAGGGCACTATAGGTCCAGTTAAAGTTTTCATAACTGGATAACAGTAATCCAGTTTTAACATGTTTTTTGCAAAAGAAGGCAGCTCAATTGATCTGAGTATATATATCCACATTAGTGTAATAACTATCCGTGTGACAAACCGAAATGTTTGACCCAATATAATTCTGAGTTGCTGTATGATAGAGATATTAATTTGTAGAATTTTCAGCTGTTAGTTGTTGGCTACATCAAATTGCTTTCAACATTAATTAACCATACATCTCAAGTCTACTCATGTTTTTCATATGATGAAAAAGACAGATGGTTCGTGTATCTCTCCACATGATGTTTACCTAATATGAGTATGTCTATATATGATGATTAGTTGATTACCTAATATGTTTCTCTTTTTTTTCCAAAAATATCTAATATTGTCATGGTTTAATATATCTGGGGGTTATTAGAGCATTAATCCATATGATGGTTATCTAATATGTTCCTCTTTCTTTCTTTAAAAAAAAAGCTAATATGGTTATGGTTTAATATATAACCATTACAAGTACAAATTGTTAAAAACTTCTTAGTTGTAAAACTGTAGAAATGTAAAAAAAAATTGTAGGTACGTTTGAAACCATGAGCATGAAAGATATCTTTACTCCATGAACAAAGCCAGCTGCCCGTTGAAGTACATTTTACATATATATCGTTTCTGCAGTTCTTTGATGCTAATGGCTACCCATGTCCTATGAGAAGGAACCCTTCAGATCACTTCTTAATGATGATAAATAAAGATTTCGAGGTATTTATATTATCTGCTGGAATTAGGGCCATGCTTTGTTCTTTGTTTGCATATTTTCCTATGCTTACAAGAAAATACATTTGAATAGGAACTTGAGGAAGGGTCCACCCTCCTGTTACCAAGTGCAAGTGAAGTCATACAAACTTTAGTAGATTCTTTAATATCTCAGAATAGCTTGGCAATGAGAAATGAAGCCTTTATGATGAAGCAGGTAAGCCTCTATGTTTAATTTAGCAAGCTACAATGACCTTATTA